TATGTTGTCTCAATTGCTGGCTAAATATGAAATATAATAATTATTTTATAGTGTTCACTTTATTTGTTCATTATAGTGAGAATATTACTCTTTTCAGATATTAGTTAAATACAAAGTGTTTGTTAAACAGATAATTATTAATTATTGAGATATTTAAAGAAATGTATTGATTCATTCAGTCATTTAACGCTTATAAATAATGACTTATTTAAAGTAAATTATTAAGTAATTTGTGTTTTGTTTGGTTTATATCTTATTAAATTATCCTTGAATTAAACTGAATTTGTATTAAATATTGGGTTATCTCTACTAACATATATGTATATACTGTATATTGACTTATTAATACTGTACATGTTATAAATGTTATTTTCATTAATGTTAGGCTATCAATTTAGTAATAATTGCCTAAATATAAAAGTCTATATTAATTATATATTGTTCTTAGGCTTTAGCTCTTATCAGTTGTTTTAATTTTGTTAATTAAGTAATTGAGAAATTTAGTATAACACTTTCAATGAGAGAGAGAGAGAGAGATTGCAAGGGTTGGCAAAAATAATTTATTACTTCAAACATATTATTCGTCATATATTTGATTGTAAGACAGCTTTTGAAAGTATTTTACGTATTCTTTCGAAAGCCTTGAGTTTTGACATACAGTATAGCATATAATATAATCTTTCGATTCAATCCTAAAACCCGTTTCGTTACTTAAAACATATGAAAGAAAGCATAAGAAAGCATCTCATTATATGTCAGCATCAGAGAAATGAACGTAAATTGAGGTCTTTTTAAGTTTTGAGAAATATATATAATTTCTCATAATATTACTAAAATTGCAATTCAAACATACATTTTGTTTCTTTTGTTGTAATAAATTGTATTATGTCTGAAATATTCATTGATTTCTGAATGCCGTCTAACAATCGATAAATTATTATCGGATATAATTACACAAACTCTCATTGACTGAAATTTTCTAGACTTTATAATTGAGCTAAAAATAAATGACATTAAACACCATATTATAAATTATGAAATAAAATAAAACCGTAAATACAAATATCAATTTATATTTGAAACAGAATAAGAAACAGATATAAAATACTTAATTACAGTATATTCTTATGCATTAAAAATATATTCTATAACTTTGAAAAATGTGTTAAAAATATATTTAACATGTTAAATTAGATTCATGTCATATGATTGTGTCAGACGAGTGCCAATGATTATACCCCCGATGTTTTCTAAAATAAAAATTAATATTTATATTTAGAACTTTGTCTAAAACACAGTATATTTATATACAGCAGAATGTAGAGGAAAGTGCTGTCATCTCTCAGTGTATGCATTATTATATGTTTTCTCGTGTAATGAATGGCACCGAAGGATAGGCACAGAATATTTTCAATTCAATGATTTGCATTACATTTTTGCTTACTATTACCAGAAATAATAAACTATAATACAGTATGTGATATGTTAATTGAAGTTTTAACTTTATTTTAATCAAAAGATATTTTGATAAAGATTTGTTTTGATAAGGAACTCAAAGCGTTTCTTAGTGATAAAACGCACACTAATGAATGAAAACAATTAAATGGTTTAATAATTATTTTTAAAATATTAAATTTTCTGTCTTTCGTCTCACCCTTGACTGACATTGACTTTAGTTTTTTATATCTATACCTATATATGGGTTTCAATTTTCCGCACAGATATTGTATAGAAATACAGGTATTTATAATTTAAAAACAAGAATATTTTCACTTTTATTGTTCAATCATCGAAAAAAGTATATTTCAATTCACGAATTACACGAATTTCATGAAGTATTTTAAAATTAGAAATTAAATTTTGCATTTAATTTACTCAATGTCTACATCTGTTTAGTTAGTAAATTCGCCAAATATTTTGCAATGTGTTTCATATGAGTTACACTAACGTATAATTAGTAGAAATCAAATTTGTAAAAACAAAATGTGGGATAACTTAAAATTTATTTAAAACTCCATATTTTCAAAACATTTGACAAAAACAGAAACCAAATAAAAATTAAATATTTTGAAAAAAATATTAACCATTGATTGGATTTGAAATGGATTTAGTTATAGTGGCCTATCTTTTTAAATATTTTAATTAAAATCATCAAAACTTGAAAACCTTTTAATTAGATTAGTTATAAAGTAAACCTATTTAGATAAACACCAATCAAATGAGTCTAAATGCTAAATTATGGTTAAATTCAGTTATTAATTTTATATATTTCATTAAATAATTCTGCCAACAGTTGAGTGAATGATTTGATTGAATGAATATTATCGTAAAACATCCGCTTTTAGTAAATCTTATCTGCGATTCATTTATATATCAAAAGTAAATAGTATTTGCTATGTTTGCTACCCGCGTAACCCAAACCGTAGTTTTCACTTGAAAAAATAATAATTATGTTCTTATCTGTTACTTTTTCTGTTACAAAAGGTGTGGGTTATGAATGTCATAACAATGTATTGTCTATTATGACAATCATGTGCTCTATTATTGAAAAGATATATATTTTGAAAATCATTATCAAATTGACTAAAAATGAAAATGGATTAAAGTTTGGATCTTTGTTGTAATCCAGAGTTTTTAATTAATATATAATACCTTTAGTTTTGTTTTTAGATATAAGCTCTGGTTTTTTAGATTAAAACCATTTTTTACCACATGATAATATGATTACTGTTTAATTACATTTCTATTTATATTATACTAAATTTCTCAATTACTTAATTAACAAAATTAAAACAACTGATAAGAGCTAAAGCCTAAGAACAATATATAATTAATATAGACTTTTATATTTAGGCAATTATTACTAAATTGATAGCCTAATATTAATGAAAATAACATTTATAACATGTACAGTATTAATAAGTCAATATACAGAATATACATGTACGTTAGTAGAGATAACCCAATATTTAATACAAATTCAGTTTAATTCAAGGATAATTCAATAAGATATGAACCAAACAAAACACAAATTACTTAATAATTTACTTTAAATAAATTATTATTTATAAGCGTTAGATGACTGAATGAATCAATACATTTCTTTAAATATCTCAATAATTATCTGTTTAACAAACAGTTTGTATTTAACTTATATCTGAAAAGAGTAATATTCTCACTATAATGAACAAAAGTGGCTAAAGTGAACACTATATACAATAATTATTATATTTCATATTTAGCCAGCAATTAAGACAACATATCAATTATCAAAACATTGAGTATCTTTAAAATTAAAACATTAAAGTTTTTGCAGTTTTTTTAATTATCAAATGTATGATAAAAAAACTATCTAATAAATTTACAGACATATCATTTAATATATACAGTGTTTCAAGTAATACAATCTAAACTTTTGATTCTATACATATTCTATACAGTACAATGTATGTACAAACTTATATACAAACTATGTATTTAATTAATTTATTGGAATGGCTATATTATATAATTGCAATTATATGAATATGATAAACTGTAAATACAGTATTAGTTATATTTATTAACTAATTTAATTAAAAGATTAATTGAAGGGTAATTATTGTTAAAAATGTATGAATTGGTTAATAATGTCATATTATTTCATTACTATTTCAATTCAAGTCAAATGTAAAACATGTCAAATAGAGTAAAGAATTGGCTGTAAATGAAATTTCTATTAATATTTGGTGTGAAACTGTGGCTATATATCGAGTTTGTACTGTGGATGTGCTGTGGATGTGCTTGTAATGTGTTGGAGACCCTGATCACTGATCACACAGACAATGCATACACAGTGTGTACAACAGTGAGTGTGTGTAGAGAGTGAACGCCTTAACATATGCCAAATGTTTTGCAATAGTCGTGTCCTTCGATGCGTTCAAAGCCTCGCATATTATCTATAAGTGGCGTCAATATTACATATTTATTAGTATATCAATTGTTTTGTCCACTCATTACAAGCGATCACTAATTGAATGCATTGTCGATACTTGCGATGAGAAGTGTATCGTAAGGGACAGCAAATGGAGTACACATTTCATATGGGATGAGGTATTGGGAGCAGCGATGGGACGCCACTAACGCTATGCTATACTCGTCAGACGAGTTCAGTGTAGAAGTAGTGCTATTTTGCTGTACTATAGCTGTGTGTGAGAGAGAAAGAGAGAGCAGAGCTATAATAACCCACATTTGGGCTGACGTTCACACATATAAACGCCTGACATTACAGCGCTATTACCCAATACATAACCACTGGTCAGTCATTCCCGTAGTTAATTAAAAACTAGAAATAGTGTTTTATACGAGAGTTAGTGAACACATTTAGTGGACATATCTATAGATATAATACAAGGTATGAATGTAGAAAATGGACAAATGTATGAATATGTATGTATTACTGTATGAGTACAGGCACTTCACTATTACACTACACACTGTAGTGAATGGTGTGTTTGTGGTGCGCATGCGTTGCACACATTGTATTGCATTGAATGGTTGTGTTAGTAGTGGTAGTGGTGTATAGGGTATAGGGTTTAGGGAATTGAGGGGAATGGCAGTGAACTGAGGGAACAGCCATTCACTCGCACTCGCAGTTGTATTGCACTTCAATTGTGTTGCTATTGAAGACACAAACAATTTTTGTCCTCAATTTTCAATAGTATTGCACTTTCAATACAGTCGGACAATACAGTGAGCCGTACAGTGTGTACAGTGTATACAGTAGTGAATGCTATTCAATGTGAACTTCTCGTCCGTCTGGCAGTGGTGTGAAGGAAGGACTGGACCGTCCACTCGCTCTCTCACACTCTCTCACACTCTGGCACTCACTCTCTCGCTCTCTCACTCACTCTCACCCCTCAGCCCCTCAACGATGGCAACAATGAGTCGGTCGACAGTGCAGTAAAAGTGTGCTCTTCTCTGACCTTGAGTTCGATGTATTGGATGTGAGTCTGAATGGTATGAATGGTGTGAAGGGAGCAGTGCTTCACAGCTCACACATAGTCACACACTTTGCCCAAACTATACACACAATTATTATTAAACTTATTTAGTTATTACTTATATATCTTTGTTATGAAATGTTAACGTAGTTTGCAATCCAAAACTCAACCACTGTTTATGTTTTGTCTCGTGTATCAGATCTGATCCAAACGAACCGACGGACCGATTGTGTTGTTTGTATATTTAGTGACCATTTTGTGACAGTTTGTGAGACATGTGTCAGTTATGATGGACAGCATGAGTATGTCATCGTCAGTGAAGGACCAGTTGGGTCACCACTCCATCGCCTCTGCGCTCAACTTCGCCCTCAAACCAGTGATGATTCCGCAGACGCCCAGAAACTCAGTGACCAATGGACACAACGGCCACAATGGACACAGCGGACACAATGGACATCACCACCCGATGCAGGGCTCGATGCGGTCATCGCCGGGCGCTCTGTCGCCAAACCTGCCCTCCATAGTGAAAGTGGAGCCCCGTTTGCCGCATACGGCCAACAATAACGCCAACGATTGTCTGTCGGACTCGTATTCTGGCCACAAGAGTAACGGCCTGTCGATGGGGTCGGCGTCGACGCCACTGAACCACAAGCGGTTGCGTATCGACGAGCCGTCTTCGTGGCCAATCATACCGCCCTCTCCCGGACAACTGTCCATCGGATCCCTATCACCGCCACCTCTGATGAACGGACATTCACTGCCCAACATTGGACACAATGGATTGTCTCCCAATTCTTCCAGTTATGACTCCTTCAGCCCAAACGGTGAGCCATTCATTCATTCATTCATTCATTATATAATAGTTACGTCTTTTGAGGAAAAAATGGCTAATAAGTTGCCATTAATTTCCTCAAAACCATTTCATTTCAATCATTATTCATATTAAGTATACATTTTTGTCCTCAAATTCTTGATAAATAAATATTTGAAAAAATAATAATTAAATTTGTGCTCAATTTGAAAGACGAGTTGTTTTTAAATTTCAATTTCAATCACTTGTTAGCAGTCATTGAAAATGAGTTTTGTTTAAATTGTTAAGCATTTAAAAGGGGACTACTTTTGTCAGTAAAAGATTCAATACATGTTTTCAATGATTGCATAAATGGGTTCCTCTTCTCGATAGTGACACAAATACAGTGCAAACCTCTTCTACCAAACCATCCATTCATTCATGTCCTCTAAAACCATTAAAATTGTCTCATTTTTATGTCTATTCATAATCCAAATCACTATCGTTTGCCATAATATTAGCCATTAATCCCATGATTATCTGTTTGTAAATATAATTTACATAATGTTTTGAGTATTTGTCTCATGCCTTACATAAGTGACACAATTAGCAAAACAGACGAAGGGTTGGTATTTCGGTAATACAACCGTTGAAAGCATTGCTCGTATCGTATAATTACTAAATAACACACTTTCCGTAAATAAAATGATACATTGTTTGTAAAACACTGATTGTGACAATCAATTGATATCATAGCCACACATATGTATTGTATAAGATTTATACACGTCTTAATGCAATCAATTTCTGATGGCATGCCTTAATGTTAGTTCATTTGAACAGTCGATATCTTGAATGCCGTCCATAATTGCCTTAAAATGTATATAATTTTTGTCATTAAAATTGGAAATGCAATGAATTGATAGAAAAATAACAGCAAGTTTTGTATAACACTTGTGTTCATAGAATTGAGAAATATTTAGCAAAATATTAAATATTGAAAATGATGTGAAGATAAGTTAATTTCGTTTCGACTGTTGTATAACTAATACAACTTTTACTTTCATTTGTCCAATTAATTCATTAATGCATTTAGTGTTTATGCTAATTATATGTGGAATAAGCTAACATGTTAGTTTTGTTTTCACTTTTTACATTATTTATAAATATTATATCCATTATACGTACTTATTTTTTTTAGTGAATTGTTTGCAAACCATTGACTGAACGTTATTGTGAAACAAAGTGTGATTAGTTTTTTAAAAAAAATAAATGACTTATTATTTAAGTAATTATTCATATTTGATGTCAATTTGAAGGTCTATTCAATTATTATTGTCATTAATCTAGAAATATGCAAATTCTATATTTATATAATATATCCATAATATAATGTAAATTATGTTTTAATTATAATTGATGTTAAAATCGACACAACTATTCACTGTCAGGCATTTGGTTTATGTCTAATTAACGTTATATTACAATATAATATATTATGATAGGATTGCCTGAAATGAACAAATATAGAGATATAGAGTTATGCAGTAATTTAGTGATTGTTATTTGCATTCATTGTATATCTGAAGCCAATTTAACAACATTTTGTCCCATTTGTTGCATTTAAATGATAGCACACTATATTGTATTGTTTGAATGTTTTGGACAATAGTTTGGTTTTCAATAATGTTTGATTGATTCAAATGACGTTTGCCTTGAAATCAGTGATTGTATGGTATGAGTGGTGGCAATATTTGATTGTTTTTGTTAATATCATTATATAATGATTATTATAATAATACATATGGTGTGGTATTGTAATGCATAGAAGTTGTATACTTGATGTTAGATTTAATTGATGTCATTAGCGATATATTGAGGACATATTGTATGTATAATAAGTATAAGGTATGATAGGATAGTTGAGTTAGCAATGATGTGATGGAATGTTATGCAATGGCTGTGCAATGATTGCAAAGAAAGGCACAGCAAATGAAAAGATTAAAAGTGGTGCCAAAAGTGGGCAACTAAACCATGTCAGGCACAGGCAGGCAGGCATTGAGTGGTATAATGTTATAGAGTGTGATAGCATATACTGTACGAAATGGTAACGCAATGATTACCAGCGAAACCTGTCTCGTGACCAGAGAACCACTTAACCACTTGTCCGAAATGGAGGTCTCACTCCCGCTTCAGGCACTCATATGTGAAACAAATCTACTTTTTTCGTGCTTTAGATCCCCTGTCAAGTCAAGTGTAGCTACTTTTTGATCAAACACTCAATTTATACACTCTTTCTATCTCTTTCTCTCTCACTCTTATACAACACTACGAAATCATTAAAAAATAGTTTTCAATTCAATGTTGAGGTGTTGTTCGCTGTTAACTAAGTTCCAAGGTTAGTTAAAAATACTATACCCATAGTTTAGCATTCACTGTACAGTACATAGACTATACAATATAAACGTCCCTGAAGCGATAAATTCATAAAAAAAAAGTCCTTCTCATCCATTTGTTGCTGCTATTCATACAAATGTTTTTTCACTTTAAATGCATTCATTTGTTATATTAAAAGGCATGAGTAATGCAAACGAAATATAGTATATAATGTACAGAATTATTGTCTATAATAACTTATAATGTACTGTATTTTAACCCATTGTCTCTTTCAATGTAACTTTTTGTTAGAATATTATTATGAACTCAATTCAAGACATGAGCAGTGCTTGACATATGAAATAATAACTGATAGAAAAACTATTTTTTATAATATTATCGGTCAGAACCCGACTATTCATTGATATGTTATAAACTTATAAAAGTCAGTCAAAGTCTACTCGTTATCGTCCCTTTAAAAGTCATTAAAACCGGACTTATTTTCTTATTTATTATCAATTATAATACTTTTTATCCTTCATTACAAGATTATTATAATTTTACTTCAAAAATATTTTTTATAACAAGACTATAAATGTAATATTATATGAGTTTTTTGTAGTTAATGTACTGTTTGTTTATATATTTATGGATAAAATTGCAATCATTCATGAGTGTTGGAGAAAGAGTTGTGTTGAGCACCAGTACATCGCCCTCTGATGTGCGCTATAAAAAAGACAACAAATTGTCTGTATTTAAGGCTAAATTGAAAAATATTAAATTCTCATTACTTTGAAAGCATTGTTAAGGAAAGGATTTGACAATAAAAATATATTTGATTAAAATTACAAAACTTGATGTTATTTGCAAACATTTGAAACTGAAATAATGTTTTTGATTGTTTAAAAATAAAACATTCATATGAAGGGTGTGTTGAGCGTTGGTGACAATCAGTGGTGACCGACCCTGACATTTACCATCACCATGTGTTGGAATAAACAAACTCTTATCATTTTTAATATCATATCAACTATAATACATAAGTTGGTTATTATTTTAATGGTGTCTATTATATGACTTCTTAATATGAAATACATGTTTGTTTGTTCACTAAAGAGTATTGTATTGTTTGATCGGAAATTTGTCTCTAATCGCAACAATTTAATACTAATTCTCGCTATAAATATATCAAATAAACTCTAAACCGACAAAATAATACAATTGTATGCATTTTCCAACAAAATATGTTCACTTTATGCAACATTTTTAGTTTGTTTCAGCAAATTATAGATATTATAGATATAGTATATATTTATTAATTATTGATTATCAAAATATTGATAATAAGGTTTTGAGAATTAATATGAAAATCAGCTAAACGATACTAGGTTATTGGTTAATTAATGAACGATGTTAAAATACTTAAAAGTATCTGTTAATTTAATGAATTTTTGTATTGAAATTATACTCTAATCATGAGTCTAATGAATGAAACTTATATTTAGTAATTAAATGCCAATTGTAATGATTATTTGATATGATTTATCAAACAAACATAAATAAAGTGTTTAACATTGTCAATTAAAACTTGAGACATAAAGTATTATTTTCTTGTGTTTGAATTCAGTCACAAACATTACACATAAATTTACACACAATTTCATGAATGAAAAGTTAATATTTATCACAACTAAATTGCACAGTATATGAAATGTTTATTTTAATTTAATAAAATGATCCTATAATATGAATTTGACTACCATTATATGCCCGCACATGTAATATAGCATTTATGCCAATATTGTTATAGTAAACTGATTGCATGTATGATTGATGTTTCGGTTTACATTATTGTTAGTGAACGAGTGGTTGCATACCATTCACTGGTCATCTAAGCAACACAAACAGTCGGTCTAAATACACGTAGTAATTGCAATATTAAAAGTAACACACTGTATATGTTTCTCATTATTCTCATTTAGTATTAATTCTTTGTCTTAAGAATGTTATAAGTTGTGATGATTATGACTTAACCCCCATCTCATTATAATAGCTATTTTGAACATCAACCTATTGTTTAGATAATAGTTTACTGTATTTACACTATACTTATAATTAGACCCTTATTTAGTATTTAATTGATGGAATGAGATGTAAAACATACATAGAATCGGAGCCCATTTTATGGCCATTCCTTTTAAGGCTATCCATACATAGCGTACAAATAGATTTGTCTAATACACCGTATTTTCATTTTAAATTGTCATTGTTTTCTATAACTCCGGCACAAATGTCACCTAAGTTACACCTATTCGTGTTAATGTATCTATTCATATGAGCTGTCCATACAATGTATGGCATACATGGTCTAACATTTTAAAAGTTAAGATCCAATTCATTATATTCTTTTCAAAGTTATTTAAATAATTAAGTTTTTATATTTGAATTTTCATTTTATTTGCTTTTAACTCGTTTACTATGAAAACTGCCTCAACTTGTCTACAGATTACGCTATTATATAATAAAATTTAAAAGTGTCCAGTAATAGCAATATAGTGTAGTATTATATAATACATGTACTGTATATTTTCATTTAATTATAATAATGATGAACATTCTTAAGGGGGTATAAAAGTCATGAGTGCAGTGGGCCTGC